ATCCCAGGACCCTGGGATCATGACCTGAGCCAAAGGCAGATGCTTAACAACTGAGCCACCCAGGCGCCCCTGGCAATGGGATTTTTAAAAAGAGTGGAAAATAGGCTAGCCTAATAAGCTAAGAGTTTGGGAACCACAAGATTTACCCCTATTCCTCCAGATGGTCACCTGGCTGGCCTCCCTGCAACACTCAGGTCTCCGCTCACCGGGTAATCGATAGATAACCATTTGTGGGAGGGGTCCTCCTACCAGTGAAGCACACTCAGGATATTTATATGAGGTTTCTCCAACCCAGAAAAGCACCAAGAAGTCAAACTAGTTGTAAAAATCAATAACCACAGAAGAATTCTGAAATCTATGATGTCACAAAGAAAAAACACTTAGGCAACGATGCTAGGAAATGATTTTTAGCCACTACTCTCTTTATAATGCATCTGTATAGCTTTTCTTCAGAAAACTCAAGAGCTTTTCTTCAGAAAGCTCTCTAGTCAGTTATAATTCATTCAAATAAAGAGCATAACTTAATCTCTGTGAAAAGGACCAATAATAATACATAACCCCTAAGAACTCTCCTCTATACTTGCTGTAAAGCAGCTATTTTTAAAAAGTTCCCGTGGAGCCAGAATAGTTATAAAGTTACAAAGTGAAACTGGCACAGCTTGAGCACTCAAGCTAATGAGACTATAAATTCAGGACAGATCCCCCTGCAATGGTACCCCGGAAGGGCACAAGATTCACAGCAGCTCCTTTACAAATATTTACGGAGTTCTTAAAAACCTTATTCCTGGTATCCACTGTGATGTATGCAAAACCCACCAAGCAACTCAAGACGGGCTCAGGTCTTAAGAGAGAAAGCCACATGGAAGGAGTCTGAGCTCCACCCTGAACCAGCAGCTGCCAGAAAAAGCAGCTGTATCGAAGAGATGATTTCTGTCTTATCCTGATATCGTCTGAAAAATCTAATCTAGGTACATTATGAACTTTTACTCCTCCAAATCCTGTTCTAAACCTGGAAGTAGAGGAAAGCGACCTTGGAAATCTTCCAAGAAGATGAATCTAGTTAGTCCCGATCAATAAATTTAGGCAAACTAGCAGATGAGCTGACGGGTTCTTTTATTTGCTTCTTTTTGCCTGTTTATTTTCTGCAATGAGCAAGCATTGCTTTTGTAAAAACAAAACAAAAAAGCTTTCATTAAAAAAAAAAAATCTAATGACACGAAAGCCAACAAGCAGGACAGCTATTATTTTTTTTTCACTTTCTCTAAACAATAACCGTGTTGTGTTTGTGCAGATTCAATTGGCAGTGAACTACTGATTAACAGATGCCTCAGTCAGATGTGTTCTAGCCACTGATAAAGTGCTGTTCGTTGTAAACAATCCTCTCCTAGGGTCACCGGCTCCTCAGTAAGTGCTTTACAGCAGTGTTAGAGCTTCGAATTGTGTTTGAGCAAAGGCTCCACGGCCCCCTTCCAGAAGGGCTATGGAGGCGTCTCCTGCCCTATGTGGATAGCCGCACTAGTTCGGGGAGTCCGAAACGTTTGGTATCAGGACCCCTTACTCTCTTACCCACTGAGGACTTCAAAGAGCTTTGGTTTACGTGCGTTCTATCTATTGGTATTTGCCATGCTCGAAATTAAAAATGAGAAGTGAATAAAACACAACATCAGGGCCATCAGAGTGGTGATGTCATCACACAGGATGAAGCCTCTGGAAAACTCCACTGTACGCTGGAGTGAGTGTGTGAGTGAAAAAGAAAAATAACTTCTTGGTATTCTTTTAGAAATAAGTTTTATCTGACAGGCACCCCCTCAAAAAGATCCTTGAGAATCACTAAATCAGATCAAGAACCCTTCCAGCGCTATCACTCTGGAGCAAGACTGCTCAACCTCAGCACTACTGACATTTTGAGGTGGATAATTCTTTGTTGGGGGGGGGGGGCACTATGCTGTGTACTGTAGGATGTTCAGCAGAATCCCCAGCCTCTACCCCCTAGATGCCAAACGCAATCCCCTGTTGCGACAACCAAAATGTCTCCAGATATTGCCAAATGTCCCTGTTTGAGAATCCACTATTTTAGGGTGCTGATTTTATGCTACTGAAATGTGAATTACAGCATGGGCACCTCTCACTGCCTTCTCAGACCCCTATTATCTTTATCTACTCGCCACTCCCATCTGGGTCTGTTCCTTCTGGGTTTTTTTATTTGGTCACAAACAGCAAGTTGGTGGATAGCAACAAGCACAGGATGAATGAGGTCAGGAAGAGACCTTCTGGTCAAAGTTCACCTTTCAGGCATTACAGCCCTCGGGGACCCAGTGATCTTTGGGGGAGGGGGGTATAACACAGTCAGCCAACATTCATCCAGCCATTCTTATGACTTGTTAACAACTAAGTCTTTGACAAGTTACCTTTCTCCTCCAAAAATGAAGTAAAGGGCCAGCTGTGCCACTGAGAAGGAGCTTCTGAAGGCAGAGAGGCAGCGTACACGACTCAGACTACCACCCCCAAAACCTCACATCCGGGAGGCCCTCCCAACCGAAATACTTGGAGATTGTTTTCAAGTCTTTTTTAAGTTGTTGTTGTTTTAAATCTGGATCAGGCCGGGAGGAAGTAGCAAAACTAATAGAAAACAGACATCCTAGGATGCCTGGGTGGCTCAGTTGGTTCAGCAACCGCCTTCGGCTCAGGTCAGGATCCTGGAGTCCCTGGATCGAGCCCCGCATCGGGCTCCCTGCTCTGCGGGGAGCCTGCTTCTCCCTCTCCCACTCCCCCTGCTTGTGTTCCCTCTCTCGCTGTCAAATAAATAAGTAAAATCTTCAAGAAAAAAATCTTTAAAACAGAACCAGGCTAGCAACACTACTCTTGGGCCAGAGGTAGGATACACCATATTTGAAAGGAGATACGAGAAGAACGTATCAATAAAACCAGAGAACTATACCTTATCGTGAGTGAAGTTCAGCTGCAGCCCCATGGTAGCCAGAAGACAAGTACCATTGCTATTATTAACCGAGTAGGATCCCACCTCTGGTTTTTCCTTTGGAGTGGGTGTTGTAGTAGGTGATGGTGCAGTGGTGGGGATGATGGGCACCACAGTGGTTAAAGTTTTATCTTTTTCACACAGAAACTCTAAAGAAACAAACAAAGGACAAAATAAATTCAAGTGGCCTTTTTCTTAATTCATAAGGCCAGGAAAGAACAAAATATTTCTCACAATAGAAGTCCAAAGGGTTATATTAGGGGAATCAGGCAGAGGTTCCCAAACTGCTGCTTCGGATGCCGACAATCTCTAAGAGTTATGACACACCAGACACATACAAACGCTTTATCTACTTCATACTTTATCTACCACACACTCATCTTTTTAGACCCCAAAGTCCCTTTATTCCCAAAGAATGTCACCTGCCTCTGATGTGAAAATGAGAGATTTAAGTTTGAAAACATTTCACTCCTGCCCTCTTCTTTCCCACATACAACCACTAGAAGGAAGGACAGTGTTAACCAGGAAAACGTTCAGAAATCATTAAAGGGTTTAAATACAAATGAACCTTTTATTTGTATCATTATTTGTATCACCCCTTCAACAAATCAGAGGCATTTCAACCTCTTCTTAGGAAGTGCTGGTAGGTTTTCAGAGCTGGTGAATGAGAAATTATGACATTTCCATAAAGTCATATATAAGTTATAAAAGCAGTTTATAAAATTCAAGATTCGAACACAAAAATCTCATTCCTAAGCTAAAGAGCTGATGATCAAGCTATTTGAGGATTTGTTCAAACAAAGATTAGGTTTGATCAGCTGAAAACACTATAGGTCGAGCATTTGTACAAAGCCATCAGTACAACGTGTACATCATCAACTTGAAATTGCAAGTTCCACAAGAACAAGAATTGTGGTTATTTACAAAAACTTTATAGTCCAGTGTAAGCTACGAACAAGGCTTAGTATAGAAATGCTTCCAGATAACAACGTCAATGAAAGCCAGCTGGCATACTCTAATCTTAAATCAGGATCCAAGTATGTATACTTGAAGAACTCACCTTTTGTGCTCACTGTGCCATTCTGGACAAAAGCCTGTACATGAACATCCCAATAGGACTGGGCGACACCATTCTTCTCTAAAGTTGATAAACTATTGCATCTGAAGATGTTGTTCAAAGGAATTCTGAATCCCACAGCGTCACGGACGGTCAAAATTCCTATAAAACAAGATTAACACTAGCTGTTCCCAAGAAGGTAGTTCTCAAAGTGATCACATAAATTTATCTATAGACTTTCTTCTCCTTCTGCCTGCCTGCCTCACCCCATCCTCAGGTGACAGAGGACATGGCACGTTCAAGAAATGACAAATTCACTGGGGCTGAAACACAGGGAGTAAGAGGAAAGACATGATGGGGGGTTAGGAGGGAAAGACGAGTCGCAAGTGGCCACGCGTTGATGGAAACTGGAGGAGGGCAGGTTAGGTTTTATTCTGTTAGCAGTGGAAGGTTAGCGTCAGTTTTTACAGCTGGAAATAAATAACACACACATAGTTTATTCTAAGGGAGATGGCAAAATTGTAGGGGCTAGGCAAGGGAAAAAACTTTTAAGGGAAGTCATTTAAGAGGGAAAGCAGTTAGAAGGCTATTGTTCTGGCTGAGGTAAAAGGTGAGGAGGTTGCCTAAATTAAGATGGTGAGAGGCAGTCGAAAGAGAGCAAAGAGACCAAACTGAAAACACAGCTAAGGTACGATCAACAGGGCTTTGTAACCAAAGAAGGAAGAAAGATGGATTCATCAAGGACTTTAGAGTAAATCCTTATTTTTGTGCTACTATCCCAAAGTATAAAATGAGCCTTTGGAACCTCTTCCTGGATAACATTTCAAGACTATTCCATTTTAGGAAATCTTCAGAATGTGAAAGGAGTAAGTTACAGTCAGTCTGCATGGAGTTTTTATTATAATGCCTACGGTGAAACCTCAAAAAGACTATGATCACAATTATCCACCCAAATGGCTTAGTTTCTTTCGGAGAAGCAGCAAGGAAGGAAGGGATACAAGGTCCTTAATAGGGGCTGCCTTCGGAGTCTCTCCATCATGTAGCAAGGCAGCCAATTAATGCTGTCTTGGCACCCCCTAATGGCCAAAGGAAAAAAAAATTTAAGCCAAGAACCAGAACATTTTTCCCCAAAACGGTTTCTCACTGTTGACATAAGTGAATAGGTATTTGAACTGTCTTATACAGAGAGACCTCAAAAACAATCTATAGACATACTGGAGCTCTACTATGAAATGATAATTTTTTTAAACTATATTATTTATGAATGTGTACAGATTAGTCAAATATAAACACACCGATAGGAAGGCTCCACCCCAAATTCCTAAGAGTGGCTGCCTCTTGGGAGGCAGAAAGGGAAGCTCTGGGGAGTGAGTACAGAGGAAACCTCAAATGTATCTGTAAGGTTTTATTTCTTTATTTTTTTT